GTAAATTTGTTCTACAAATGATCAGATAGTAAATATAGCTGTTTTGTGAGATGTGGAGGTCTTTTACAGCAGCTTAATTCCTTCTACCATTGTGGCAGAAAAGAAGTTATAGAAAATATTAAAATAAGTAAAAATAAAATAAGTAAACACAGCTATGCTCCAAGAATACATCATTTCTAAATACCATCAACAGCTAGATTTTCCCCAGAGGCCAGAGTCTACCTGTCATGGAGGATGGGACACAGAATAACATTGAGTTGGCTCCAGTAGTCTTATTTTGACGTCTTTCCAGGGTTTTTCGGTGGCTTTGGAGGCTTGTCCTGGAACTCCCTCTGTAGATCAGGCTGGACTCGAACTCACAGAGATCCGCCTGCCTCTGCCTCCCAAGTGCTGGGATTGAAGGCGTGGGCCAGCACTTCCTGGCCTTAACAGTTTTTCTCATTTAGAGCTTTTGACATATATTAGATGTGTGTGTATCCATGTTTGATGGGTATGTGCACATGTGGAGATCACAGAACAACTTGGAGCCTGTTTTCTCCTCCCACAGTATGAGTTCCTGGGATTGAACTCAGATCATCAGGCTTGCTAGTCAGTGCCTAAACCTACTTGGGGTATCTTGCCATTTTTCTCAATTGTAGTCTTGTTTGTATGCAGAGTAGATATATGTGATCTAACCTAAATTGTGTAGAATTCTAGGTGTCTTCTAACTCTTTATTAGTTTTCCTCTTAACTTTCATTCACTAAAATCATGTGGCCTTGGTGTCACGCCTGGAATATTTTCTCAAAGTCACTAAAGCCTAATCTCTTGTTGACGTATTAGAGTCCATATAATCCTGGTTTGGATTTTCCAAAAGTCCAGTGAAAGGAAGTAATAGCTCACTCATGCACACAGTCTTGGTCTCTCCGTTTTTTACAGCTCACATTTCATGCAGGGCTGTCAGGATTTTCTGAATTAAATGTGACTCAGGGCCAGCATTTGCTGACTGAGGAGGCTCACGGGTCCTATAGCTCATCCACCATCTTGCACTTGAGCTGTCAGGGATGAGCGATTGGTGCCAAATTCAACCCAACATCGACCCTTCCCAGTAGTCTGCCTTCAACAACTCCTCCTTGTCAAATCCAACCGTTTACGTGGAATTTACAGTGAATCAAAGACCCTGAAATGCACACGGGCAGTGGTACTGCTTTGCCTCAGAGCAGCAACACCCATCAACATCCCACAGGGCTGACATTTGAGGCTGGCGGGGGGAGGTAATCAGAGGGTTTTTGTGTTACTCTTTCTAAAGGGATTGTTGGAATCTCCCAAAGCTAGAGGCTAAAAGTCGGGGTGATTCAGCTATGCAATATCCCCCCCAAAACCCATTTGTTCAATTGTAAATTATAAAGCAGGGTCCTTGACAAAATAGTTTGTAGAAGCCAAACAAGACCCCCTAGGCCTGGTTGCCTGGGTGCAAGTATGAGCGTAGGCCAGAGACTCCACTCCCTTGTCCCTGCTGCCTAGAAACTTCTACATATAGAACAGAGAAGATTGGTTCATGGAGGCATTTCTTAGCCATTCTTAGGGATTTTAGTGAGTCCCACTAATGACAGGGGGCCTGAGGTTGGGCAATTAATTATACTTTGACAGTTGACTATCTAGACAACCAAGCACCGATATGATGTTGGCTTTCTAGTTAGCAGCACCCAAGAAGTGTCCTCTCTGTGTTCACAACAACGTAGCAGGAAAGAAGAGAGTGAGGTTCCAATATTCTTTTCAAGGGACACCCACAGAAACTTATATACCCCCCACACACACACACTAGAATCCTCTGCCTAAAGGTTCTAGCACCTCCGCAGGACCAGCTGCTGTGTCCAAATGCTTTTATGCACCAACCTCCCAGGAACACTCTAGATTGGCACTATAGTACCCTTCACAGGTGATGGTTATAATGTCAGCTCTATAGTCCCCTTAATTTCCCATCACAGGCTAATTGCACTAACTACAGACCATATGCAAAGTGATGTCAAATTGGCTAAATGATTCAGGAAAGGCAAGATCAATAAATAACCCCAGTCCTCCCATCTCCCCATAAACCCAGTTTCCTTAATAGATCTTCCAACACTTACAGATTCTCTTGTGAATGAAAACTTAGTTGGAAACTATACTGAATTTACTTACAGCTATTACTTAAATTTGGAACCTGAAATGGGTAATCCATGGCCACTTTATTTTTCTTTAAGTGGACTCTGCATTTATACATAGATTTTAGACTTTAGAGAATATAAAATGTAATATCCATTTTCCCTAATAATTACCGCAGATGGATGTTAAACATCAAGGGCTAAATACATACATAGTAGAACAGCCACAGCTCATTCTGCTGGGAGTTTGAGGCTTGAAATTTAAAGAACCAATGGGAGAAATGACAAAGGTCAAATGTAGCCGCTACTCAAAGGAAAGAAGCTGGGCTGCTGATCCCAGGTAACTAGAATAGATGACTCGCGAGCACTCACACAAAAGAATTCTTGGTTAAAACATGCTACACCATATGATCCACTTACATATTTGGCCTTTAAGAAACCCCAGAAAAGAAATTGCAAAAGCACTCACTCAGATATAGTAAGATGGTTGCTTAAACCTGGTGTGTGTATCTGTGTGTGCATGCTTATAGCTTATCTATGTATGCTGCAAAAGCACTCACTCAGATATAGTAAGATGGTTGCTTAAACCTGGTGTGTGTATCTGTGTGTGCATGCTTATTGCTTATCTATGTATGCATGTGCATTAGTGTTTGTGTGTGTTTGCAGTTACGAGTGTGTAATGTATGTGTGGATGTGCCTGATGACTGTGTACACTGATGAATGCATGTATGTATGTATCTGTGTTTACATGTGTGTGGTGTGTATGTATGGTGTGTGTCTCTGTGTGTATATATCTGTGTCTGTATGTCTGTACGTATGTGTGTGTGTTTGTGTTTGTCTGTGTCTGTGTCTATGTCTGTGTATGGTGTGACTACACATCCAATCCCAGAATTTCAATTTTTTTCTCACTTTGATTCCCATGTACAAAGCTCCTTGTCCGATGAGGTTTTGTTTTCCCTGAACATTAGATGTACTTGGACTATCAAAACTGAAATATCACAATGAGTTTCCCCTTTTGAGACAAAATTAAACATATAATTCATAAGGGTCACTAAAGTTGTTGTCTAAGAAATATGTATTCAGGTGCTGGATTGATAGCTCAGCAGTTATGAGCACTGGCTGCCTGCTCTTATATAGAACTTGGGTTCATTACCGACCACCCACGTGGCAGCACACAACCTCTGTGACTCCAGTTCCAGGGCATCTAAAGTCCTCTTCTTACCCTGTGGGCATTGCATGCTTGTGGTGTACATACAAGCAGGCAAGCGCTCATATATAAACTACAAATAAGAAAATCCTTTTTTTAAAAAAGCAATGCCTATAAATAAAAATCGAGATTGTTCATGTGATGGGAAGGAAAAGGACTATAAATGATGACATGTACAAGGAATATGTTGAGGCATTAATAGTCCACCCTTCAGTATAAGCTTTAAGGATTCACAAATCCATTTGAGCCCGGTAATCTACATTTATGTGGGTTTATGTATGCTTACAAATACTTCACTTTTGTGTTTGTATATTTATCTTTTTCCATAGAAACCAGATCAAGTAGCGCCAAGAGCTAAACCCATTGAATGAAATCTGTTGTGACCCATATATTATCATAAAGATAAAGTCACATCTTCACAAGGGAAAATCTGACCAATATGACTCTGCTTGCCTGTGATTTCTACTTAGAATCAGAATAATGAAGCAAATTTATGCCATATACGCACCAATAAATTATGGTGTGCAAGAGCAATCACCAGAAGTGTTTACTATAGACCCAAGAATAAGAAGCTACAGGTAAAACAAATCCATACTGAGGCCATGATATAAAATTGCCTGTTAATATTCCTTAGAAAGCATGTTCTTGCTTCACATGCAGACCTGTGTGCTAATGTTGACATGTGTGTTTATGCGGGGGTGATTGTGGCTAAAAATCAGGAAATGAGAAAGAGAGCCATGAGAGGGGAGGGGTGGGTGGTAGACCATGTGGCCAGAAAGTGGAGATGTCAGGGCAGGGCAGGCATGGAGGAGAGGTGTGGGGAGGGGATCAACCAAAACAAATTATGTCTGAAATGCCGCAAGAATTCTGTTCATTTGCTTTCTAACTGAAAACTGTTTTCAAAATGTCTTTTACCAAAAAAAGACAAAAACTGAGTAGGGGAGTTCTTCCATCTTAAAGATACTGCTCAGGCATGGTCATCAGAAGGCTGTATGTACTCCTTATTACTGCGATGTTGTATTTCATGGTGGGGTGGTGCTATTGTGGTCCTCTGCAGACTGCCTTCCCCATGGGAGAAACATACCAAGGTTAGGAGAAAGCACCCTGATGTCTGCAACTCGCATTCACACTGTCCAAAAAATCCAACCTGAGAAATGGCCAAAGCAAAGGAGGCAAAATGTTGAAAATTAGTGAGTCAACATGAAAGGTGTGGAGAGGTTCGTTATTCAGTTGTCCAGTGTTTTCATGGATTTTCTTAACTATTAAAACTTAGGAAAAATAAAAGACAACATGGGCTGGAGAAACAGCTCAGCAGGTCAGAGCACTTATTGCTCTTCTGAAGGACTTTGAGATCAGCTCCTGCTTGTCACTCCAGGTCCAAGGGCTTCTCTGTGGGTACTTGCACACACACAAACACACACACACTATCCATACACAGACACCCATTCATATATATTTAAAAAAATTAAAAATAAACCAGGCATTGGTGGTGCATGCCTTTAATCCCAGCACTCAGGAGGCAGAGACAGGCAGATCTCTGTGATTTCAAGATCAGCCTGGTCTACTAGACGGAGTTCCAAGATAACCAGGGCTACACAGAGAGATTCTGTCTCTAAAAAGCAAACAAACAAACAAAAAACAAGTAGATAAATGAATAAACAAATACAATCTCTTGAAAAAGAAAAAACAAACAAAATTCATTTTTATTGTTTTTAATTCATGTGCCTACTTCAGCAATAAGGAAGCCCAGGTTTCACATAGGTGCACAATATGAAAGGTAGATAAATGTTACAAATTACGATATAATCAAGACTTACAACAAAGTAACATAGGAGTTAGGCAACATGGTTAAGGTTGATTGTATTAAAATCCTATCCCTATTACAAAACAAGACTAGAGGCAATTGATGCCAGTCTTCCCTGATTCCTAATTTCTCTGCTCCTCTCTCACTCAGAACCTTAGAAATTGTTTAACTACACTGGAAATACAGAATTCTTTTTTAAACAAAAGCTATCAGATGATGAGGACTGTGGTCCCCTTCACAGGTACAATCTACTCTTGAGCAGCCTGTAAGCCATTGACAAAGTAACTCCATAGCCAGCAAAAAATGCCAAGGCCCTATTAGGCTGAGGAAGAGGAGTCAAGTAGGCGATTGTGTGGTAGATCCGAGCACCAACAAAGATTCTGAAGTGCATGAGGGCAGTTGAGAGGTCTGGACCACTCAGGGAGTAGAGGAGGCCGATACCAAGAAAAGGAACGATGTTTTCAATATCATTCAGGTGGGCTCTGTGGGAGAAGATGATGACATGAAGTTCAAATCAGTGGAAACGCATTAATCCTTCCCTCACTTCTAAAATGCAACAGTCTTAACTGATGTAAGGGTTGGATTGTGTTGGGTTGGGTTGGGTTGAGTTGGGCTGGGCTGGGCTGGGCTGGGTTGGGTTTCATTTAGTTAGAGCCAAAGTAAGCTGAAGCTTGCTTGAAACATATTCTGTAGCCAGACTTCCCTCAAATTCACAGTCCTTCTGTCTCTACTTACAAGTGTTTCGGTTACACATGTGAACCTACTATACCCAGAGATGCTAGATGATCTTAACTCTGAAGAAAGAATCTCGATTTTCTTCCCAGCTGCCTCGTTTCCTTACTAACATGGTTTTTATTTAGAACATCACATTTTGAAATTTTTTTGTTTACCTTGAGACGGCAGTTTAACATTTCAAGACTATTAAAATGCCATCTATCTAGAAAAACATACACCCTTTTTTGTAATTAAGTATGGGACAGCATTCTTTCAAGTTTCTTTTGGTGAAAATTTTTGTTCCCAAAGAAAGAAAATTCTTTTTGTACAGTCTTCCTCAAAACTTCCGCTTCACTTCTTCATTCCAGAGGTCACACTGAAATCCCTTGGTACAAACCACCATCACCAAGTCTCAAGCTCTCGCATCCAGATAAAACCATGCCCCCCTTCCCCTCCCCCCCCCCCGTATGGAAGGGATTCAGAAATTATATATTCAAGCCACAGAAGGGACTAGCAATGAAAGGGTAGAAGTGCAGGTCTACACAGAAATGAGCAGACAGAGAGTGGGGCGGGCAGGAGCTAAGAGAAAGGAAGAGAATATGATTTCCTAGAATCTGTCTGCGTGCCACCATTAGAAGAAAACAGAAAACGCTTTTCGTCAGAATCTTTCCTCTGGCTTGTAGCACCGTAGGCTTTTCTGACTTGGACTATGAAGACAAGTACATCCATTATTGATCTGCAAAGTTTTACGTGTGTAAGTACTAAATCAAGTGTCCTTTATTAAGCACAGACTTAGTAATTGCTTTGCAACCTACACTAGAATTTGGTAGAATTGGCAGAATAGAGTTTGCGTGTCATATGACTGCCATCTGTTTTGTCATAAACGCACAGCGCCCTCTGGGTGGTTTTTCAGCTCCCTCCATGCCTGCTTTCCCCAAGAGCTCAAGACAAAAATTGTGACGCTACACAGACATCATCAGAGACCTGGGGAAGACCTAGTTCACCCCACTTCTCTCAAGAAACCACCAAGGGTATGTGTGGAGGGGTAGATGAGAAGGTTCAGGAACCACATCTGCTAGGTGAGGGCCTGAGACCTCACTCCGGGGCTGAGTGCTTTGGCCTCTGAATTCTTCGGAAGACAACAGAGATGTCTTCACTTTTGTTCTTGTGTGCATTTGTGCGTGTGTGTCCACATTTTACGGTGTTCATGAAGGTGTGAGTGCACAAGTAGCTGCAGGTGCCCGTGAAGACCAAAGGAAATCCACCTCACTGGTTCTCTTCAGAAAACATCCACTAACACCGTTTGCTCTTTAGTTGGTTTGGTTTAAGTTTTGGTTTTGTTTGGGTTTTTTGTTTTTATTTGTTTGTTTGTTTTTGTTTGTTTTGTTTTATGATAAGGTGTTTCAGTGGCCTGGAACACACAGGGTTAGCTAGGCTGACTGGCCAGTAAGGCTCAGGGATCCACCCATCTCTGCTTCCCCAGGGATGGGATTGTGAGATCACCCCACCACTCCCAGCTCTTCTTATGAACCTGCCAGGTTCGTTATCTTTAGCACCTCCTGGCTCCTTTAACAGGAGGAAGGAATGACCACTTTCTATGGAGATAGATCCCACACTGGCCCGATGAGTGATGCCTTGTGCTGTGACCAGCCTTCCCACAAAGGCGCAGGAGCCGCTGTCGCAGTCCATTCCCTCAGACCAGGCTCTCTGGTTTTCAGCATCATCTGACCTGCATAATAGTTAGCTCTAAGCACGTTAGATGAATCATCAAGCAGTGGCCAACCTTGAAAGAGGACCAGGGGTAGGGAGATGCAGCCATATTTCCCTGATGTCCTTCATTCACTCAGACATGACCCCGATTCTAAGCAGACAGTGGTGTGTCTAAATTCTCACAGTTTGCTCAAACTGACATAATCTCTCATCATTTCTTCTTCCTTCGTGAAATAATCCAAATGCCACAGGGATGTCCTCCTTGTAGTCCACCTCCCCTCACAGGCCCGGACCACTGCTTCATGTCATTGCCTGATTGCTACATGCATGTTGCTCGCATATCTTCTTGGAAGATCTTTGATGACATCCCAAGGAAGGTAGGACTATGATGCGCATGTAAGAACCTTCCAGAAGCTGCTTCGATCATGAATTGTAGTGACAAAAGTCATCGTGTAGTTCAGCCTCCAACCCATAGCTCAGCCTCTTGATGGACTCCTCACTTGGGTCCCTCAGGCTCCATAGAACATTCTGGAGGAAGGATGATCTCCACCTCTGAAGACAGTATACTACAGATGCCTGGCATTTCCCTGAAACCAAACTCAAGTTCTTTAGAATAACTCCCTTCATTTTCCTAGCCTCCTTGACCCCCTTTCCGGTTTCGTTTGTCTTAGAGTGCTGGGTACGTGTGGTCTTGAATTCCTCTCAGAATAATGTGAAATAGGATCGAGTAGATAAATGAGAACATAAAGTGTTTTCCTGTGTCTGTTTGGAACTCAAATTACTGACATTCAGTTACATTTCTTGACATGTCAACACATACTACTTTAAGCTTGCAGCTAATTGTCCTTATCTGCATGTATTAACTCTCTATATATCTTCAATGATGGCTTCCTTTTGTTTTATAGCACCCTATATAGCATGAGGTTTATAATTACTTTTGAAATGAGAGGGAAATCCTATGTTGAGAATAGAAAAGGGATATTCTATAAACTTCTTATATAATTTATTTCACTGAGTGATGAGGCCAATCAGTTCTCAAAAATATGTAATTGGAAATGGGATCTTCGGCCTTATGTAAAAAAAAATAATAACTAATTAATTAAAAAAAAGTTTGCAAATTGCTACACTGTAAGTTCAGATTCTGATCACCAGGGGGCGCTGTGCACACTGGTGTTATACCTCTCTAGGCAACTATATTGCTGAGGTCAATGGCATTAAATGTCAGTTACATTTATTTGTAGTCTGAGAAGAAGAAGATCAGACTAGATTATAGATTTCTCGTCTAACAGTACCCACATGAGGGTGAGGATGGCAGATGGGATAAACAACAAAGAGAGTGTGATCTCTCAAAATAAAATGGTTATTTAAGTTCCTGTACAGGAGGCTTGCCTGTTCCTCTCCATCTTGCTAACAATGCCACTGTAGTGCTATTTGTGTTTTCTAGTCCTAGTCTACTGCATGAATAGGATGACATGATTAGCATCAACCATGCAACTGCCTGCTGTCAAAGAGAAACTGAGAAAGAACAGATAAAGCTCTAAACGGTTTAACGTCTCCATAGCGTCTGACGCATCGATCTAATCTTGCTTCTCTCCCATCATAACACTCAACACTTTGGGGTTTTCACTTCCATTCCTTTGTCCTGAAACTGTTTCTGACACATATTCTTGGCACAACCTGCTCTCAGGAAGACTAGCTTACTTAAGAGGACTGGGTTCCCCAGCACAACACCTGTAGAAGCAAAAGCGAGTGTCTTAAGAACCTAGTACTCACTTCCGTCTTCAGAAAGAAGCATTCTTGCTGGGGAAATGTCTCTAGTGCACAGCGTAAATGCCATGCGCTCCTCTTCCCTCAAGTCCATTTCTGTTCAGTTTTCAGTTGACTTGTTGAGGGTATTGAGGAAAGAGCTGACTTTACGTCCAACATAACAAGATGCAAAATTTGGAAGCATGTGTAAATATATGATCCCAGGCCAAGGCTTATCTTGAGCCCATGCAAGTCGTGGCATGAGAGAGTCTGTAACTATCCCGGGAGGACCTTCAGACCTTTCCAGAGGGGCCAGGTGAGAGGGTGACATAATCATGATCCAGGGAGTTCACCTGACATTCCATCCGCAGAGGGAAAACTCTTACTGTTGCTATCTATCTCGTGGTCATCCACGCCAAACTGAGGAAATCTCTGCAGGTACTCATTGCAGTTGTCTTCACTCTCCATCTCAGGGCTGCCAGGCTGCTTGGCGCCTACCAAACTCCCTTGATGCTTTAACTCACTGGCTGGGATATGACTGGAATTGTTCCACAGCTCAGATGAGCATTAGAAAATAGTAACTGGGAAGACAGCATGCAGCTCTGGTATCCCATGTGTTATAAAAAAAAACGGGCAGCTATTACTTAAATTTGGCATTGACCATCTGTATAAAATAATCACACAGCACATGAATTTATGACAAAGATTAAGAAAATGCTTCGGGACCTACAGTTTTCCAAGCACTTTTGAAATAAACCTGTGAGGATGGAATGTGGCTTCTCTCTCTTGAGTGTTCATCGGATTTGCAAGGTAGTAAATAAAACGGCTACGAAGATACAGAGACAAAGGAGGAGAGAGAGCCAGAGATACGAAGAGGCAGAGGCATAAGGAGAGATCTTATTTCATGGAAAAATTGAGGTTTTCATATTTTAGCACTTCTACAAAAGCGCCTAGTCCTTTGACCCTTTGTGCAAATGGACAGTCTCAATTTGGGAGGGAAGCCACAAAACTGCAAGCATTATTGCCTGTGTTTCGCCTCCTACCTACGATTATTTTAATGCATCCATGAACAGAGATTCCAACCCCAACACAGTCGGCACCGAATCATAGCAGCCACAGCAGCAGGAAGAGTTCTTAGGAGCCTAACTTGCTGTAGTTCGTCACAGACTACAGAGAATGAGCGACTCCCTCCCACTTCTCTGAGCCCTGCTCTCTTGGCCGCACCTGCTCACCCGCGATCCTAGAGTGAGGAATCCCCAGAGACACTCGCTTACCTCCGCACCCGTTCAACCTTTTCGTCAGTCCGGACAAACTTCTTGGCATTCTCTCCCTTGCAAAAGCTAGCACAGTCTTCTGGGTTGGCAAAAATCTATTCCAAATACCGAAAAGAAGAAGAAAGCCCGCTTATGCCAGGGCTAGGTATATAGCTTGATGACAGAGCACAGGGCCCTATGTTCAACCACTAGAGTCAATACAACAACAAAAAGAAACTGAAGAAAGCACCCGAGTTCCTGAAATGTGGAAGGACAGTAGGGATTGCCACCAATTTGTTGCTAGTTTGAATTTGGGTGTCTATGTGTGGGCCCATGCTTGTACGGGCAAACACGTGAGCACGGATATATACACGTGATTGCACGTACACGTGGAGGTCTTGAATATTCAAGTTTCGACTGGGAATCACTGTTAACCTTGTTTTTGCGACAACTTCTCTTAGTAGCCTAAAGCTTCCCGGTGTAGCCTAGGCTGGCTGCCAGTGAGCCTCCAGAATCAGTTAGTCTCCACCTCCCCATTGGTGAGATTATCAGTGCAGGTGACCACATCTGGCATTCTTAATATGGATAAGGAAGCTTGAACTCGGGTCCTTGAGTGTGTGCAGAATGCGTTTTACCTGTTTTACCTACTGAGAACCAACCCCGGCACCGATCCTTTGAATTTTAATAAAAAGAAACACAAGCATCCTGGTTGGTCCTTAGAGAAAGAAATGTCCATCAATAAATTAAACCAGGAGGAGGGGGAGGGAAAGCATGTGCAGTTCAAGCCTTAATCCTTATCAGCACAAAAACTTGTTAAAAGCAGCGTGAATGAAAACATCAATAAAGGCCAGATATAAAAATCCTGAAAGGGGCGCAATGAGATGGCTCTACAGGTAAAGGAGACTGCAACACAAGCCTGATGACCTGAGTTCAAGTCCCAGAACTCGTGGGAGAAGGAAAGAACTGAACCCCAAAAAGTCACCTGTGCGTGCGCGCGCGCACACACACACACACACACACACAATGACAGACTACACAACTAAAAAATACTTCACAAGGAAGTAAAAACAGAAAAGAGACATAACTCTCAGCCAGAGCAGACCATCAGTGTGCTACCCTGGCATCCTTTACATACTGATGTTGACACGCCTTCCCTCTAATGTGTAAAGTTTCAGGTGCTCGGTTTCAGCAAGGCTATCAGAAGAGGCAAGCAGCAGGAAGAGGTGAGGGATGGAGAGGCATTCTGACTTCATGGGAAATGCCCTCATTTCTCTTAAGGGCATAAACCTTTATGTTGACTAAGACAGTAAAACATACACAGATGAAGCGGATGAAATGTATTCAAAGAGCAACAGGGATGTGTTCTGGGGCGTCTGTTCATGGATTCCTCCCTATAATTACTATGCTGTTTGAAATTATTTCTCCCATCCCTTGAAACTTGAAATATGCATTTAAGATATATTTAAGTAGGCTTCACTGTTTAATAATTTATAATAAAGAAAAAAGTTTTACTTTTAGCCTGAAAAAAAATGCCATAAATGTCCTAATGTTTTTCTTAATAGATGAGTATTTATTACAAGTAAAGATGTAAGGAGGACCTCTAAGCAGAGATGTGCCAAGGTCAGCCTCTGGGGCCAGCTCTGTTGGCCTCGCTCCTCATGGTGCCCTCCAAATGAGTGTCTGGACTGCACTGGATGTCCAACATATGAACTGTGAATAGATAGGCAAACCCCAATGAAAAGTACCCAAAGTTGGGGTATACTCAATCTGAGTTGGAGGAGGTTCCTGGAGAGTGAAGTCAGGGCCCTGTGTATTCTAGGCAAGCACTCACCACTGAACCCTGTTTGTCAAACTGAGTTTTCACCTCAGCCCCATCCTTCATTTGTCTGCAGTGCCTAGTGAGTACTGCTATTGACTGCTGTTACTGACCTTACAAAATGCATCAGCTGAAGCCTAATTCCCAGGGTGATGGTGTATGAAGGTGGAGCCTCTGTGGCATCATAACGTCAAGTGGACGGGCCCCTCGTGCATTTATAGGAAGAAACAGGGCAGATCAACAACTCCCCTTTTTCTGTCAACTAGCATGAACAGGAGGAGAGGATGGCCCCATGCACATCAGGAATCTATCCCTCGCTAGACATCAGGTCTGCCATCTTGATCTTGGGCTTGTATGCTGCAGAGCCGTGAGGAATAAACACTTCTTGCCCAAGCCTCCTCTTCCGTGACACTGTGTAGCAGCGGACCACACTGACTTCAGCAGCTGCTTGTCCCTCTCTTTCAGTTTCCCTCAAAGAGACTAGGCTACCAATGCCACAAGATGATGATGGGGACCAGCTCATGCAAGAAGCAAAAGAAAGTTCTATCACACCATCAGCCTCCTGCTATGAAATTACCACGAGCAAAACCTGAATATTGCGGAAATTTCATCTGCTGTGTGAATCACAAAAGGCGATGCCCACAAAGAGGCAACCGCCAATGGTTTCATCATGAAAACGAGTCTTGTGCCGTGAGAAACACCGAGGCCAGACTCCATTCGCAGCATAGCATAACCCAACCTGCTACTGACTAAGCATTACCTAAAAGGATAAAATAGAAACGAAAAAAGGCTATTCTCCAGAATGCTAACACATAAACGTGAGAAAGTGTTGCTTCTGAACTCTTACCTTGTTGGTTAGCCTCTGGAATGCAGTCGCAGAGCTCATGAACATCATCTTGGTAAGAACGATAGTTGCATAAGAGGCAAAAGCCATCAACACCTCATTGTCCATGAGCTGCTTGAGTTCAGACATTCTTTCAGTCTTGGTCGCAGTCTTCAA